TATAGGGAATTTTGGCTTGAAATTAAGGGAAAAAACTTCTGTTCTGTATCAAAAAGCGTTCTGTTTTCTTCAAATTGTTTTTGATAAGCAGCTCTTGATCTCAAAGTATTTGTTTAAAGAAATTGTCGGAACCCTGGCGCCTATAAAAGTAGAGGAAGGTTGCGAGGTAACTCCTCCGATGACCGGTGATCTAGCTCGAAGTGGCGCTATTGCACCGTCACCGTCGATGGACTCTAATATAACGCTTTGGCAATTTCTACTGGAAATGCTAAACAAGAATGAATTTCCGCATCTGATCAAGTGGAGTAGTAACGATGGGGAATTTAAGGTATGCCTAAAATAAAGAAGAGTTTTTCATTTAGGTATTGAGATCAGAAAACTTTGATTCCCTACTGGTTGTATTCGTTGTACAGAAATCCGGGAACCTTATGGCCGTGAACATTCTCTTAGTAGATTGTGAAATCTGGTTCTCAACTTTATATCCCACATCATCGTCTAAAAATTTTGAAAAATCAAATGATTCATGAGGCAGGAGGTTGCAACGGGTTGTAACTTGTACGTTTTTTTGTAGCTGGTTGATGCTGAGGGTGTCGCCAAACTTTGGGGGCTTCGGAAGAACAAACCACATATGAATTACGATAAGCTGTCGCGGGCTCTTCGCTATTATTATGATAAGAATATTATAAAAAAAGTAATTTTTGCTGTTTTTTCAGCAACTTATCTGATCAGATTTATCTCTGAAGTACTTTTAATTCTTGCAGGTAAACGGCCAGAAATTCGTCTATCGTTTCGTTGTTCAAGATAGCTGCAATAAAGATAACTTTCATTTTACGATGCCAAAAATAGAACCAAATGTTGTTGACAATACTGGTAAGTTATCCTCAACCGAATTAAACTACCAAAATTAATACGAGGAAGAATTTTTGATTGCGATTACTTTTTTCTGTTTATTGAGCAGTAAAAATACCAAAGCTCTAGGAATTTTTTTATTCAGAAGAAGGAAGTATTCAATGAAATCTCGATACAATTAATTTAGTATTATACGTATTTTGAAAATATACAGCTGTTTGTCTGTAAAATGTTGGTGTTTTTTGTTAGACACATCATACTTTGGTCGCCGTATGATTCAAAATTTTGAATTTTCAATTCCTTCTCTTGATTTTTTTTTTAGCTTTTTTTTTCTCCAACTATTTTTTTTCCCGGTTTGAGTGATGACTTGATGGGTGTGTCAGTGGAAGTTTGATAAATTCTTATTTTGTTATATATGTTGGTGCTTGATTATTTCCTAGAGAAAACAAGTTTACCAAGCAGTGGAAGTCAGAACAGTTCTTGATGATATTTGAAGTATCATTTGTCAAACATTAAAACTTTCCTGCTACATTTACACAAATGGTTTTTGGAAGTCGTTTAATCCTTTGTTTTTAAAGGAAAAGACACCAACCCGGTGACATCGATTCGTCCACAATTTACTGCAACTCCTTCCGCTTACCAAGGCAACTTGGATGAGAATCACGCCCTAAACTTTGCCAACATTTCAGCTTCAGTCCCTATGTCAAGTCCCTCACCAGCCAATAGGTAAAAATTAGTCCTGCTACACATTGACCCTAAAAAAATCAGAGGTTTGTTATGGAGCAACATACGGTATTCTTTTTGAAAAAGGAACTTTAGAAAATGGTCAGTCAACCACAGAAAACCGTTGTAGAAATGGTGAAGTGTTTCTTTTTTCTGAAATCAAAACTTTTTTCAGCATAGGAACTCACTTTTTTTTTTGTTAAAACACAGATAATTTACATTTGGGGACCTAGTCATTTTAAATTGCAGTTTTTTTTTTGTCTTCAACTCCTTCATTACATCTAGCAGACAAAAAAGAAGAAAATAGAAAAAGAAAGAACTAGCTTATTTTTTAACGTAAAATAGGGCCTTCAAAACATTATTTATGCATTTAATGAAATTTATAAGAAAATGTAAAAAAGTCGAATCTTTTTAGCATTTGTACTGCAGACAGTGTTGAAGGAAGTAGTGGTATTAGCAGTGCAGGACCTCATTCTTCTCATTCAACCGACATATCATATCAGAACTCTGTGGTTCGCAGCACAGCCTCAACGATTACTTCATTGCCGTCGACTAGTCAACAAAACCCGTGCGATCAAGTACCAACGCGACCGGTCTCAGCATCCTCAACACATAGCAGCTCAACAGTACATACCGAAACAACTGATCTCAGCCAAACGGTTTCGCGAAAGCGCAAAAGCCCGGTGAATGGTATAGCAAAAGACCAAGCAGAATTGGTTTCGGTTGTCCGACCACGTGTATCAACATCGCAGGATTCTGATTCACCACCAAAGTCTTGTAACACTGCTCCACAAACATCTTCGTCGTCAACGACTCCTGCACCTACGTTAAAACGACTGAAACCCCGCCCACTGAATTTGGCCGCAGCCCAGTCGTTAAATGTATCGTCGGCAACCAGTTTGAATTCTGGAAGTACGCTTGTCGCGCATTCTCCATATCTTAATGGGGCTGCAGCAGCAATTGCATCATCGCCGATTCTCAACCTCTATGCGTCATCCTTATCGGCATCGCTTTCCGCAAACTGTATCCTATCCAGCAGTCCTTTTATTCCATCTCTAACAACTGCTGCAGCAGCTGCAGCCGCTTGTAGTCCATTGTTTAGTACGATGAATTCACCTGTTGCACCTCAGCCACAGAAGGTTGTTACACCGACAGCAGCTACCACCCCAATCTTCCAGTTTCCTCCGAACCCTCAACAGATGGCTGCAATGGCAACCGCAGTTATGTCGTCACCATTGTTTCCGTATTTCGGTCAGTCAATTAATCTGGGTGGGCAAGGATGTCAGACATATAGTCGTAGTTTGGTTAGCCGAAGCCCAGAAAGTTTAAAAACACCCGTTGTCATTCCAAAAGATTTTTAAGATATTTTGTTATTGTTATGTAGTATTGAAAATTTAACGTCTTAAACGGTTGTCTTCTTAATTTTAATACCTGAACTATAGTAGTGGTTCTTCAGCTTTTCAAAGGTGTGCTTCACTCGGCCATATCTGTTGTAATCACTTGGGTTTAAGTTTTGTTATATATATTCTTATGGCGTTTGAACAACCTTACAACAACTCTGTTGAGACTTATCCACAGTACAGTTGATAGTTTTTTTTTGTTTGAAAAGAAGAAGCTTAATGAATGCTATATCGTTTCAAGTAATTCGAATTAGGAGTGTATTTATTGGGTCTGTTTTCTGGATTTTTTTTGCAAAAAAAGTTTTTCATAATTAAGGTAAGTACTAAGCGTTAGTTAGCTGTAATAATGGGATTTGAAAGGGAGTGGTTTGTATTGAGAGCTGTTGTTTGGTGACAAACAAGGGTTTTGTTGGTACAGGCAACAATATTTCTGCTTTAACTATAAGCTTTCTGCTTTTTTTATTCTTGGTGTTTGATTTTGTAACACGAAGCAGGTTTTTTTCAATGTACCTGTTGTCCTCTTAATTTCTCCAGCAATGATTGCCATATACGACCAGTGTAACTGAATTTTTGTTAGTCAAAAATGACACATGAAAGAAAAATAAAAAAAAGATAACAGAAAACTGCACAAAAAAAAAAGTATTTTTTTATGCTGGTATTTTTGGGGTGTCATTTCTACTAGCTATCTTATCGTGTTTGTTTTTGCTCTCGCAGTTTTACACATGTTGTTTTGGTTTGTATGTAAGGTGTTCAAGTTGTGCTTGGTTTTGTTTTCAGTATTGTTTATTAGCCAACAATTTATCAAAGGACGTTTTCATTTTTTTTATTTGTTTTAATTTTAAGGAAAGAGGGGACTTAAAAAGCTTGATTTGTTGGGATTTCTTTAACTTCTGTATTTTGCTGTTTTGTCTTCCAAATATTAATGATTGTTTCTGCAAAAAAAAAAAATAAATAAATAAATAACTGCTGGGAGATTGCTCCGTTTCAAGTTACCGTAAAGGGAAAATTTTGGACAAACCTACACACTGGAATACTTGTTGTTAACGTTTTCGGTTTCCACTAAACAGTTTCCTCCCACATTTTAAGATGCTTAGAGAAACTAGTGCCTTGGTCTGTCGTGAAAAAGTTCTTGTTAGAGCAGACTAATAAACGACTCATTTGTTTGTTGATTTTTGATTTCTACTACTTTTTTCAAAGACAATTTTTTTTTTTTGAAAACTTAGATTTTCATCGTTTTTATATTCTACATTATTGTATCAAGTTGATGCGCGGTATATATATGATTATATTTTTGGTATTTTCATCATTAAGTTACTGTGTTATGGATATTTTGTTGACGGAACTTTTGCTGCATCTTTTTTTTTTGTTGCAATTGATCACTTCAGTCAGTTAGAACAGGGCCGCAGATTTTCATTATTGAGGGGGTTTGGCAATTCCGTTTACCTTTACAATATTTTTTTAGTTGGATGTTTCGACGGGTGAAGGTATCCTCTTTTCGGGTGTCAGACTTTTAGTGTCACTGTAGTATATAGGCATCTTTGTTTCGAAGATTACTTGGGAGGATATCGTTATCTGAAAAACTCGACTGAATGGTTGTGAAGTTTGAAGTGTTAAGAGTACAGGTACTCAAATTGAGTTTCGTCGACAACCTTTGTTTTGCTGTTGAACGCCTTTTCTTGTAAACTTTAACTGGTTCACACGTTCAATCTTTGATTGTTAATTTTGTATTTCACCTAATTGTTCTTTTAATTTTTAGTATTGGCAATAAATTTATAAAGTGATTTACATGTCTTGCTTCAGATATAACAACCGCATTAAACCTATGAAAATTCCTCTTGGTTTTCAAAAACTGGGTCTCTGATAAGCAGAAGTTGGTGAGCACTTTAAGTTTTTAAAGTTTACTGTTTCTGTGAGGCTGCGAAGGTCATCTGTATTTTTGAGACGACTTTGCTGCACGTTTCATCACGACTAAGAATTCAAAAGCACAAGAAAAGCAAATTTTAAGAGTGGTCGTCTTAAACAACAATGAGTTTCTGAGCAGTTTGGGTCCGACTATGTGCAAGGATATTTTGATGTTCACGTTTATTGAATATCTCCTTAATTCTTGGCTACACCTGGGGTCAGTGGGAATTTGAGTGATTGAGTTAGCAGAATAATGTAGCAACGGTGTTTTAGAGATGCAGCTGCTTCTACTGCTGCAGACAGTCAATCTTCTCTTCTACACTCGTGTTTAAAGGTTGTTTAGCTCTTCTTAAGGACTTACTGTGAGAGCTTTTTAAGGCACACAGCTGCAAATCTTATCAGCTCTACAAAGCTACAAATTTTCTGTTTTTGATCTCATGAGAGGTACCATGAAACATGTAAAAACTGAACTTCCATCATTTCAACTGGCTGAGTTGAACCATCTAAGTGGACACGACATGAGAAACAACTGAAGCAGATTCTATGTACACAAGAGGCCTCGGAAAGGTATGTGTATCATAAGCGGGTATCTGTAATTAGACCTGCATAAAAACTGCTTAGATGTGGACCGCTTACAGACAGGTAATTAGGAGTTTATGTGTTGCTTTTTCTTCTTCTTTGAGATAGAGCAACAGTTTAAAGCATTGAAAATACGGGTATGTAAGCTGTGAAAGGCTTTTCAATTCCCCAGCGTAAAGATGAGCAATGAATTCTCAAGCTGGCGGAATATCCAGCTAGTCTAAATCTTCTGTTGTTTCTGTAGCTTATTCATTTCTTTCTCCCCATTTTATTCATTAAGATTACAAAAATCAATTCGTTAATCCCTGGTACACCAACATAAACAGTAAAGATGTCACCAGTGTTGTTGGGGAAAGGATTCATGCAAACTGGTCAGAGCTGCAGAGTTGCATTGAGAGCTCCATGCTGTTTTGAAACGAACTTTATAAATAATGCCTCATCTCAAATCACATTGTATATTGTAAATCCAAGTCTCGATGGCTTTTTATTTTTAAACTTTAAATCTCATTTTATTGTTGTTTTTTGAAGAGGATAAGGTTCACCGTAGTCAAAAGGTACTGTACAGTTGCAAAATGTAGAATTTTGTTATTAAGCTGCAAGATTTGAACGAGAAACTGCAACGACCTACCGTAACCAGAAAATACTATTTAGCTGCAATTGCAGAACTTTAATATACCGCTGCAACGTGGGGCAGGGAACTGTAACGTTGGATGTACAGTAATTACAGACTACTTCGGTAGCACGATAGTTTACGTGAGAAGGGCGAACGTATAATAAAAAGTTATATTAAATACTTTGAATGAGTTTCGCGTGAACATTCAGTTGGTTGGGTACCTCCAGAAACTTGCAAGACAGAGAAAAACTCTGTAGTTCTCTCTGAATGCATTTAGCTCAGCTAAACAAGTTTCAGATTTAATTTGTATGAACAGTAACAGTCCTAAACTCGTTTTCTGTCGTTTTTCTGTCATGCAGTTTGACTTCTGAGAGCCATTGTCATTCTATCGTGCCATTGCGCTTCTGGAAGTCCTAAAAAAAAGTGTTGCATTTGAGAAGTTCCCCTTTTTCGTTGAAGAAATAGGTGCAGGCGATTCTCAAATGGCTTTAATACGTGGGTGCATGAGTATAGCAATACTGTTTTACATAAAAAAGTGTTTAATTACCTACGCACGTCTGACTCCTCTTGTTTTACAAATAAAAATTTGCATTATAGATCTGATCTTGGAATGTGGTAATTAAGAATGCTTCAAGTCTCGGACAACTGTTCAAAAAACGAGCCATCCTTTGTACGTGTTTTGCGTTAAGGGTGAAAAAGTTTGTTGATAATTATCACTGCAAGCGTCTGTTAATCAACTTCGTCACTTTAGCGGTATTGCATTGTGAAGCGGCAGGAATATCACTTTTTATGAAGAATTCTAGACTTTTGTAGCAATAAGGAAGCTGTAATGTTGATTTATTACTAAAGACAAAAGTAAAGGAAAGAGTATATAAATTGTTCAATTTTGTATGGTTTCAGAAAGTGTAGAGACCCAAGAATTCTGTAAAACCGATCATTTGGGCGGATTTACAAAACATCGAAGCGTTCTACAGTCGTTTGCAAAGCCAACACGCGTCTCCTCGCAAACCCACCAACCAGCCTGTAAATAAAATACTTTAGAAACAAGTTCTTTTTCTTGTTCTTCGTGGTAAATTGTTCACATGGTTTACATAATTCAAACTATTCAACGTGACCAAAGAATGAATGGGAAATATCACAATGCTTGTAAGATCTCGAAGAAACAAACGGACGGTCTGCAGCAAACGGTTTTATAATCTTCATTATTCATCTTGGCTACTCACCGGTTTAGATTGCAATTATGTATTGAGAAGGAAAATTTATATCACCGGTAAGGTTCTTAAAAAGACATTTCTTTTTAGTATCACTGTCACTGCAGTAGGAGTGTAGGATATATTAGTCATTTAGTTTTTTTACTGTTTGAGGGGAATAAATGTCGAAACTGTTAACTAATCTACTAGCGGCAGGTCAATCCTCGCGTATTATATAATTTCTAGCTTTAAAATCAGTTTCTTTCTTTAACATAAGATTCTATCATATGCATTTTTCGAGTTTTTATATTTATTTAAGACAGATAAAATACTCTAAGCTACGAATACGAAGTGCTAGAATGTAAGTGGGAAGCTCAAAGTACGACCTTTGCTAAAGACGGTTACAGTTAATATCTGATATTATTTATCTCACGGCAAGTGTTAATTAATATATGCGAAAATGACGCAAAAGGCAGCAACAGAAAATAGGCGTTAAAACAAATTAACTTGATTCTAAAACCGCATGAGACTTTGTAGAGAAAGCAAAAGGTAAAATCTTGCTCCATTATAACAATTCACACAGATATATTCACTTGCAACACTACGTATTCCGATTTTTGAAATGATAATCACATTTATTGCTTACATTAAATCATAAAGATCGCTACTCATTTTTTAGACTGTACATTCCTGTCTAATTCCAGTTCGAGCGACAAATTTTCGGAAGCGAGTAACATATAGAAGGAAATGATGATTTGTAGGAGACAGGGCGGCTGCATGTGTTTTAAAATGGGAAAGTCTAACAGCGTTTGACACACGCAAAAATACATCAAAAACGAACCAATAAATAAACGCGTTTTACAAAATATTTTTTGATGATTATAGGATTAAATTAGGTTGTTGTTGTTTAAATGAGAGCGACTGCAACGGTAACACTCGCTCAACAGAGGTTCTCAGTCATAAATGTCACAAACTGATCAGTCAAAATGAGGACTTTGTAGAAGGTGCTACACATTTCAACGTCTTAATTTACATTATTCCTTTAAAGTTATGTCACATATTAATGATGAAGACCTACCGCGGTACCTAGCGCTAAATCGCACTCATAATGACCTCAGAACTGCAGCATTACTTTTTTTTTTTTGACAAGGATAATCATAATAGAACTGTATTTGTAATGATGCTAGAGGAGAAAAGTACAGATAAGCTAGAGTAAGAATAATTTCAAAGTTGTTGAAGTTTTTAGGTATCTTTTCTCCTCATTTACTGGTAAGATAAGACGGTTGTAAATTTTGATGTAAAACTTTCGTATTAAAAATAGACAATAAATAAAATTCTCTTTTTCATTTGGTTAATACAATCTGCTTAAAATAGCTTCGGTTGATTTTCTTTGAGAATGAACTGCTAATTTCTCCTTAATTTTTTCAGCAAACTTCTTTATGAAGTTTTTTGTAGGGCAAAAATTACAAAGAAGCTTTTGTAATTTTTAAAACTTTCCAGTGCTTAGCAGTGCTTAGAATGTTATGAAGCAAATATGCACTCACCGCATTGTTTTTGCATATGCTAATACCAACTGATTGAGCGCAACTCATAAAGGTGTCCACTGTGCTAAATTAGCAACCAATGCATCTATTTCACAAAAAAAAAAAATAACTGTTTGTGATGTTACAGTATGAAGTTTACTGTATATACAGAAGAATTTTTTTTCCAACATCAGTCTAACTAAAAAACGTTACAATGGAATTCTAAAAAGAAGCAAAAACTGCCACGTAAAACGTACTTGCATAACGGATCTGTTGAGGTCTCTAAACCCTTGTTGAAATCGTCAACGCAGTTCTTGTATTTAGGATCTGCTGATACAGTATGCAGACAATGCCACTGGTTTGACACTTCTAAAACCACTGTTTTCATGCTGCTATTGTAATAGACAATTTGAATTCCAGCGAGGTTACGGTTTGAAGCAATTTCTTATTTAAATAAAGTCATTTGATTTTAATTACAATAAATAAACAAACAAGGTATCTGGTTAAGTTTTAAAACACCGAAATTTTCAAATGAACGTGTCTTTGCTGTGTGAATATCTGTTCGGACCAAATAAACAGCCGAGCATAGTAGCTACGAAAATAAAACAGAACTGCAGAAAAAGTAACCTTCAAATCCCGAGTTACATACAAAATCAAGTTTCAAATGCATATGAACATAATCGAATACGTTTCTCAGTGTTGCGTTGGTGCTTCTCAGCAGAAACCATGGATTTATGCATGCGTCGTAAGTTCCAACATCACGAACAAAGTACTGATAAGCACTAAAACAGGCTTAACGAATAGAAAAAAAAAAGTATAAGACTGAAATAATTAAGTAATTTACCGTTCTGTGTTATTTATTTAGGTTTCGTAAGACAACTTTTAAAAAACAACTTGCTATAACAAAAAATTATCATTTTTCTTGAAGACCTAAAATAGCCACTTGTCTCAAGCCTAGTTAACATTAATTTACACCTAATTCAGACAGACACTTGTAAGTGCTATTGTTGGATTAACTGTTTTCGCGTATCAGTCAAGTATAATTATGTAACGTTAGCGCTTACGTCGGTAAAAAGTAATTTTGCCAGCCAAAGACAAATAACTCTGACTTTGAAACGAACTTCCTTCTTCTCGTAAAATCTTACTCATTTTGCGTAATACACCAAATACCTTCTTCAAAAGATTTGCATATTACACAGAATTTGCTGAACACTATTTTAAAAAGCTGTGATATTCTTGCCTTTATCTTTAGTAGTTAAAGTCTAAAGTAAAGTCTACAACCTGAAGTCGTTTTCTACCTTTTCTTAACTACGTTTTTAAAGAGGTGAACTACTACGAGTTCTGTCCACTATTTTGTCTATTTAACCTTACCTTTTGTTCAGGTTGCTACGACAATCTCTTTAATAAAGATCAGGCTTTGTTAAAGTTTCTATGCCAAGTAACTCAAACAGTTTTAGAGGAACCGTTTATAAAAATTACTGTTCTATATATAATAAATTTTGCTACTATACTAATACAAGTGATTCACTCAACAGTTAAAAGTTACAAGAAAGTTTTCTATTTTTAGCGTAATTTATTGTTAAGCAAAATTCTTCTTAACATTTGTTGTTAAGTTTGAAGCTCTGATAAACTTCTAATAAGTTCTAGCACTAGAATTGAAATTGTGAGGAAGCTGTAGTACACTTACTAAAAGCGGACAGCAAAATGAAAAGTTTATTTAATTTTTTCTGGCATTTTGTATAGTTGAAACAACCAGTGGTTAGAAATGTTTATAAATGGTTTTTTTTGTCATTTATTCAAGAAAAGTTATTAATTTTCCTGTGCGATTTTAAATATTATTACTTGCATATCGTTAGAAGTTCAGTAATGTTAGTCATAAGCAGTCGATTGACACGATTGGCTAATTCAGTGCCGTTCATCCAATTTAACGAGTCTGGTAGACGAACGATGATGTTAAATGTGCCCTGATAAAAAAATTTTGTAACACATATTTACCACAAAGTATCAGAGCAAAATACTTTTATAACAATCTTTGAAAACAGTCTTTGACTGAGTAATCTCTAGAGATTATTTGAAATAAAAAAGAAGCAATGCGGTCAATAAAAAGTTCTTTATAAAAATACTGGTTTATAGGAAAACAATTTGCCTGTGCATAGTCAAGAATCGCTAAGTTGCATATTCCGAGATCAGCCTTAACTTTTGGTTCAAAGCGTTCCAAGGCCGCATCTGGGATTTGCAGTCCGCTTAGAAAAGCATACGAGGCGGGTATCAAAATAACGAAGAGGACAACGAGAAGATGCTTGAACATTGTTGACTTAATGCCTTTTGTGAAGCAGCAAAAAATTTCTCCAGTCGACGTCAATAAAGGTAACGACTGTAAATGAAAAGTACGCAAAATTTTACAACTACAAAATTTTTGACCAAGATAACAAACTGATTGACGTGATTCAGCAACCTTAAACTTGCTGTTTTATATGCCTATAAACTACTATAAACTGAAAAAATTTCTCAAAAAAAAAGTATTTTTTAATCAAACAGTCGCAAACTCTCCTCAGTTATATGACTAAGTCTCCTATTTGACGGGGCAGCAACTCAGTAAAGATATATGCAACCAGTGATTGGTTCAAAAATATGTTATTGATAAAAAACTAAAATGATTTCAAAAGTACTGAAATAATAGAAAATAGCATGGCTATTTAAAGTAAACCAGCATAAGCCCTAAACGTATAAGTACCAAAAATACGTTTGTTTTTTACAGAGTGCTGTTTCAGTCTGTAATTCCTATTTAAGAAATTTCTTTTTAACCTTTAAAAACGAATTTCAAATTTGAAAAAGCGGTCATTTACTTTCAGCAATGACAACTTTTGAAGCTTCTATATTCACTCGGAACGCAGGAACTGAAACAACAGTTTGCAAAAGTTGATATGCCTGTTCTTGTTTAGTTAATGCTGGGGCATTATGCCGCTGTAGTTTCAAACGCAATTCAGTAATGTTTATCAAAGACACAAAAGAAAAAACACATTGTTTTAGCATTCATTTAGTCATTAAACTATTTAGTTCTTTTTGGTTCTTGTCAAAATAAGCAATAATTTACAGTCAGAAAGCTAAAATAAACATTTTATTTGTTATACCCAACGGTTAATAAGAGAGTAAAAACTTCAAGATCACACCAAATCGCCGTTTGAAAGCTTAATGCACTTTCCTTAACTGCATCATTTTCAGAACTTTTAGCACTTCTTTTAGCGACATGTATTATAGAATTCCCAACTTTCATTTTAGAATTCTTCTGCTTCTTCTGGCGCTGATCGCTTTCTTCTTCTTTCTCGCTCAGCAGCTTTAGCACCCAACTGGATAAAAAGTTGCATTTTCTCTAAAATGGTAACCCGTTATCTTTAGGCAGAGATAACTGCATTGTTTTAAAAGATTTTAAAACAGATGCACGTAAATTAAAAATAAGAATAAATAACAAAAAATATAATGTATCATCACTATAATTGCTTATGGTTATTCTTATTGACTGTAAACCCAATAAATATTTAAAAAGTTGGTGTTATTTAAGAAGAAATTGCACAAGGAAGCTGTTAATAACCGTGAAAAGCCGATCGAAGTTTACCTTTTCAGTTTGGGGTCATGTAAAACTGTAAGTCTGGTTTGAAATAAGAAGCATTGAGGAAAACAAAGAGCGAAAGATTTTTAAAAGCGGTTTTAGGAGATTGCATTTGACGCTGAAAACGGGTTTCTGAAGCTCTTCTTGCAACTGGGTAAAGCAGGCAAAACTAACGTTGGTTCATAAACTGAGGATTCGCTGTGTGAATTGCTTCACGTCGTGTACGTATATGCGGTACTTCATTATTCTGTTCAGCAACAGAATTTGGGAACGTTTGGTAACTGCATGACAGGTGCGGGCAGTAATCATCGATATTCGCAGCTACTCGAACTTGTTCACAGCTCCACCAAGCTACCTAATTATTCAAACTGTTATAATTTTATGTCATTACACTTGAAACAATTTATTCAGGTTGTCTCTCTCGTTAAAACTATTCTGTAACTTGTTTTTTATATTTGCCTATAAAATTAACATGCTTTTAATTTTAGTGTTCTTGCTAACGTAAATTTCTAATATTCCCGACAACTACAATTTTTTGTTATAGAAGACTAGCTGAAAAAGAAAGTAACTGAAATGTACATCTTCCCCGCAACTAATGTAGAACGGTGCTCTGTAGCAAAGCATCAGCGTCTCAACTTGAGAACAGATATTATCTGGATCGTGTAATGAAGCGTTAAGAAAACTATTTCTGCAATCAACCAATAGAGGATCAGCTGTTGCTGAGTTTTGCACTATGCAATCCCATTTTTGCACAGATTCTAAATAGGAGGTAATAAATAACCATAATATTTCTTCTACAAACATATGATAAGTAACAACTGTTCAGAACTCAAATTAGGTTAATGTAGTGTACAAAGCCTGAACTTAAAAGGATAAACGTTAAACCTGCTTTTCATAAAATGAAAAGGCATTTTTGGACAGAAAAAGGAGCTTTTTAATACTATATTAACTAATAATTTATACTGTGCTTTTAGTGCAAAGTAAATTGTCAATTCTTTCAAAACTCAATGTTTAATGCGATCTATCTGAGCAAAAATATAAAATTTTTGTTTCTGAAATTCTAATAAATTTGGTTAAAGCATCGATATAAAGCTTAGAATTAAATAAAGTAACAAAAAAATATCAGAATTTCTAACGCAGCAGTCCACCGTTACACATAAATTCAAGTTCATCGAAAATTTGGACAAAACTAGTTGCGTTTTCAACGCTCAGCCCATGTTGAAGAAAGTTGAATCGATTCATGCAGTTTCGATAACTTGATGAAAGGCACTGGTAAAACATTGAGCGAGCTCTGCATAACTTTAGAAGTCCTTCGTCGAGAGGCTAAAATTGTTTAGCACATAAACAGTTTACTCAAGAAACCACTTTGTAATTAAAAATCAAAGATTATTGTTAGTGAAAATTTCGTTGAGCAAATTAAGTGCTGTTCCAACCTTATTTAAGAGTTCTGTAATACCGCTCTGCAAGACGTCAACATGATGAAAATTAGCATCGGCTTGAAGCCCCAGTTCCTTATTGAAATCATTCTTAAAGTAAAAATTTTTCTGTAAAAAAGGACAAATTGCTTTTAATCTTGACTGCAATAAATGAAATTCTTACTGGTAACGTCCAAAAAGTCTTAAACGGCAAAAGATAAGGCAGGCACTTTGTTACTGAAGAAAATTATTTTAAAGTATTTATTAATAAAGTAGATCAAACAAAATTTTTACTCATAATTTGAACAGAGATATTGAAATTTATAGCAGACATTCCTAAAAGGTTAGAAAATGCTGAATATAAAGTAGGACACTTTAGTAAACAGGTGGATTTGTAAAGGAAAACTGGAATGCAGTAGCGATTAAATTCTTTGTTAAATATAACTTCATAAATAACTATTTTTTTGTCTTATATACTCTTTCGTAGTGAAACATATGTTTTTCTACAGCTGTAGTAATAACGGAATACCGTGCAGTTAGTAGAAAAGCATATTTATTGCAGAAACTCGATTCCCTAAGATTTCGATTATGTATGAAATAAAGAGAAACTCTGTTTATAACAATTTTTCAAATTTTTTATATGAATTTTTCTGCCTACTTTTTATGAGTTAATTTATTTTTCATTCTTCTTATCAAAAACGATCTTAAAAGATGCACTAATTTATAATGAACTGTTATCGTCTGTTACGTATATTACTCAAACTGTTTGAAAATCTCACACTTAAACTGAAGAAGAAAAAGAGGAATCTTTAGTTTATAAACTTTGTACAAAACCAGTGTAAAGATAATCATCAAACAAAAAGAAAACCAAGAGTTCAGAAACCAGAGAGGGAAGGATTTATATCAACTAGTATATATCTATATATCTATGCATTTAAAACCTGCAGTTTCAACAGGTACCAAAAATCAATATGACATTTTTCTCATAGACGTTACCAAAATAGCAACGTAACACTAATAATTACATCTGTGAGGTGTGATAATTTTCACTGTTTAAGCGATTTAAACTGAAAATTTTTTAAAACTTATACCTGACATCGATTAAATTTCGCATTGTCACAAAACGTGTAATCTCCTGCTGGTTTTACCGGGATTTTTTGTAGAGCTTTCAAACTTGGAAGAAGTGGAGAGATCAACAGATTACCGGCGGCAATGTGAAGTGCTAAATTCAAAACCAGTAATTGTCATTTCAGTGCAGTGACACACAGGTTCTAAATTTCTTAAACTTCAATTTTCAGTTGCCTACAGTAAACTTCAGAACGAAAATCCAGCTATTTCAGTGAATCTGAATCTACCTGCCAGAAGTATCAGCTGTGTTCTCATAACGAAAAAGTGGGCTTAGGCGCAATGGTTGCGCAAGTTCTTCTTCAGCTGCAAAGAAAACAAAAACTAAACTAATTTCAGTCGTTACATCAGGTTTCAATGACTTTCAGTTAAGTTAGTAAAACTAACAGCAACAAAGATATAAGTTCTTTATCATCGCTTATTACGCATATTTGAGTACAAACGAATATCAAAGTAAGCGATGTTGTTAAGTACACACAAAATTTTTCAATATTACGCTGCTGTCATTTGTTGAATTGACAAATTATTATCTGACATAACCGTAACTTGAAAAAAAATAGTTAAAAAACTTTTAAATTTTATTTCTAAAAAATAACCAAGTTATTTTTTGCATTAGATATAAAACAGATATAAGTCTGATCACAAACGACTTAAAAACGGCTTTTCTAACAGCTTAAAATTTTCAAATGTTTGTTGCACTAATGCTGCAACAACAGTACACTGCTTCATGACTGATAAACTGGTTAGAAGAAAGAATGTCTAAAAAACATTTTTTTTCTTTGTACAGGTGATAAGTCCGCTTTTTGGTCAACGTTGTGGCTGTAAAAATTTATTTTACCGTTGATCATAACACTGCTGTTGGTATGTTTTACTGAACAAACAGTTGTAAATGCATTTAAACGTCTCCAAGTTTGAAGTTTGAAGAATTTGTTTCATTAGGTTGAGAATCATGCCTGATTCTTGATTGTTGCTTTTGGAGCGACAGTGGAAAAATTTCTAAAAGCTAAAATAATTCACTAAGCTGCCAACTTCTGTGGTATTGTCAAAAAAAAAGTATAAGACACTATTAGCAGAAATTAAAGCAAATCACGGCTACCCCTTCTGCGCAAAAGAAAGCAGCAGTGCAAACAGAAGCTACCGAGAGCAAAATAATAAAATTTTTCACATATTCTCTCAAAATGATTACCCTTAAAGATATCAGATTAAGATAACTGAAAAGTGCGTATTTTGAAAAAGTTTGAAGTAACATTAAAAAAATCAGAATTTGACTTGATTGAACCTTCTGTTCTGCGAAGAACGAAGTCGAAAGAAACAGTCAGTGATGCTGTTTTCAGTCTTAGATACTGTGATTTTATTTAGTGAAGGAGAGAAGGCATTTATGGCACTGCAGAAAGTCAGTGAACAATAAAATTTCGCATACTGACAACGCCCATGTAACAAAAAAAGCTAAAAAAATTGCTTGTATTTTTTGTTGGGTTATAAAAGAACGTATAATATTGATATCAGTTGAACGCTTCTCAGATATTTTTAAAACATTTGAAGTAAAAAAGTTTTTTTTTTTGCTGTTATTCTCGTTAATTTATTATGATTAATATGAACTTTACGTGTAACAAAATGTCAAATAAAAAACTGAATTCTCTACCAAAATTCTCTTTATTAAACGAAGTGCAAATAAGTGAGTCGGTGAAAACAAATAAGGGAAGAAGTGAAAGAAGAAGAGGTTGAAAATAGAAAAGTGATAGATGAGTCTAAGGGCTAACTCTCTGCTTAAAACTAACAACGTTGCTAATTCATTTTGTTCTTACTAGTCAAGTAGCTGCTTTCTTACGACAACCTAATGTCTTAAAAATATGAAAAAATAAAATTAGACTGTTTAATTTTCAAAAATATCAATTTTAGCTGAACGTATGCATTATGCGTTTTGAGTATAAAGCTAAACATTAGTTCTCCTTTGCTTATCAAAAATATATTCCAAGGTATGTTCTACATTTGCTACAGATCGCTGGATTGCCGTTATAAATTATCAATGTTGCAGATGTCAAACTATTATCTTTGTTGCAACAGTTGCGAAAAAAGTTGCCAGATTAATGTAAACGAACAATAATTATTTATCTTACATATGCTGAATGCCACTGTCACAGCTTCTTTACATAATTATATCTTTATTAGTCTTCGAGATATGAATTTGTAAAAAAATTTGGCTTTTTAGGTTCAAATAAGAAACATTAAAGGTAAGAGAGTTTGTTGCATTGATAGATGTACCAGCAAATCAGTTTTAAATCACTGGTTTATTATCAAGCTGTGTTCACAAGTCGGCGGCACTCAGTCGCATGAAATTATGGTGGATAGATCAAATACAATAGAATGTTTTATTAGTTTACTCTATTTTTGGTTTGTTATGTATTTTTCTATCAGCAAAATAATTACTTTTAAAAATATATATTATGGCACAAATTAAATGATAAGCCAATTCAAAATTTTTATCTGATAAATAGAATAATATTCGTACAGTAGGCTTATTTGCTGGATTTTGTACAGTTTATTACTGAGAGCGGTTTGAAAAAAATTATAGTGTTACCAAAATGTAATTTGTTTAATAATAATATTTTGAAGCCTCCTGAACTCTTAGCAGGTAAAACATTAGCTGAGGTGATTTTTACAAGTATTTTTGTGAGCATATATCTTTTAACAGTTATCAATAACAATTAATTGCATATTATTTGCTCGTCTTTCTTAACCTGCGATACTTCTAAATTGATTTGGCAACACTCCGCTTTGTCATTGTCCTTCTCGCACTGTAACTCCTGTTGTCGTTGTTTGGCTTTGTTACCAAGTGATACAAAGAGTTGCTGCCTTTCTGCAAATTCAGTTTTATTCTCAAACTTTTCCGTCGACAAATGTCTTTTTACACTTTAAAAAAAAATTATTGCAAATAATTAGTGGTTGACTAGTATCAGTGCATATAACTGTTGTAAACGGTTACAGTTAAATGACTTTGTAGTCTTCAACTGTTTGCCAGACAGTATCTACAACTTGTAAATAGTGAATGCTGATACAGTGTACGGTTATGAAATAAATGACTAAATTACAGGCAATAATCAAATGATACCTGCACTCATAAAATAAGGATTATTTTCTTGCAGTTTTTGTTTTCTAGTTTTTTTCACTGAATACTTTTCACCCAAACTATAATAACAGTTCAAGGTGGGGCAATAACTGTCAATATCGAGAGCTATTCGAACACGTTCGCATTCCCACCAACCAACCTGAAAGGTAACTGGTTGATCGTATCTCTTACATTGAGGTCGATAGTACCATGAATTAAAAGAAATGAGCAGTTAAGAAAACATTGTTGTTTATCCATCACACTCTTCTTTTAAGAAAAAAAATTGTGTATTCTCAGATGACTTTCGTTTTTTTAGTATACCGAAATTCATACATACAGAAGAAAAATTAATGACCATAATCAACAAAAATTTTATGTAGATGATTCAACTATGAAGTTATTTCGGCTTAGCCATTGCCACCAGAATTACGTGTAGTTTAAATACACAAGTTTACTGTAAGACTCGAAGTATATGATTCTTCGTTTTACATAACCATATTCTACAATCATCCATTCAATTTTTTGACGTTTATTTTTTCTTCTGTTCAAAACTACTTTTTTGTAACAATGCTTGTTGAAAATTCTGAAATTCTGCAAATTTTTTTCTCACATTTTACACGACGACGTTCACATATTAAAATTTGCACCTATTTTATCTTGGCTTTAAAGGCCAAAACAGTAGTCAAAAAAAAAAGAAATCATAGGAGAGAAAGATCTTTTTGTTACGAAAACTGACAAAGAACTCCATTTTTACAACAGATTGTAATGTCAAGAAAAAAAAAAGCCTCAGCTGCACGCAAAGACTAGCTGTAGGAGACGTTTACTTAAGGTGTAAAATCGGAGAAAAACGGTTCTAAAAAAACTAGATGCTTATCCTCCTCCTTAGCCACAAAAAAAACTAATATCAGCTTAACGACATGCTTCGTTTCCGCAGTGAACGTTGTATGGCATTCGAGCGCAGAGGGCCATTGAAAATGCTGCTCTACAGATTTGGCTCGGATCCTTCTCGACGTTTGCATGATATTGCGCGAGACATTTGTTGTATGTTTGATCCGAGCTTTTTTTATATATTTCGATACATTTCCAGTGATTAATGCTTTCTAAATAAAAAATCTTTGAAGTTCCGGTTTTTCAAGACCTATTTTAACAAACTTGCTCACACGGTAGTTTTAGCAAACAAAAAATACAATTAGTAATTTGGAATGGGCCTCAAACATGCAACCAGTGAAAACTGCAAAAAATCTATCTTGAACTAATTTGTGAGCTGTTTCGTAAGACAATTGTTCTACTGCAGAAGATGCTTTTTTGCTGATCTAATCTAGTGCCAAAATTTATTGCAAAACGATAGTGAACTTCCCCTTAAAAACCGCAGTTGTTTCAGAATATAAAAAAAGGTAAAAAAGAGCTTCTAAGGATAATTTGACAGTTTTCACTAGTTGTGTACCGCAATAATTTGAAATTGAAAGGAGAAAACTTAGCCTAACCGGTAACTTAAGTACCCTAGTTACTTTCCACACTGTTTTATAAGTTATAAAACAAGAAAGACAATAGTCAAATTGTTGTGATATAAATTTGTGATCCTATTTCTGATTACTGGACTTCTTTAAAGCTTCTAGAGCTGAAAGGCTATGAGCAAATCTAATGCTGCTTTTTTGGCGTTAAATTGTAGTTTTGATAAACCTGTGTCAAAGCTTATTTCATTATCATAAAGATTCAGCTAGATAATCAATTAAAACACTATCTAAGCAACGAAAGTTTTTGTGAAGGTAAAACTATTTTTAAAAATTGAAAAATCATAAATTTTATAACGATAAATTATAATAAGGAGATATTTAGAGGCAAGAACCAACGCAAAATTCCTCCAGCGCACATAAATTCTAGTTCTTTAAATATTTCTGTAAAAGCTGCAGCTTCAGACTGTGAATAACCATGACGAAGAAAATAAAAGCGGCTTGTACACGACGAATACATCAAGCCTAAACACTGATAGAACTCAGACCGAGTATTGCACAGTAACAGCAATCCTTTTTCGACTCCCTAAAACAAGTAAACCTAAATGCAGTAATCTAGCACTAGTAATCAGAAATTCTGCATGATAGTTAGATTTTATATTCTCTCTGCCGAAGACGTCTTTTTCATTTAATGTTCATTGTCGCGTAAGTTTGTTTGGTTATCTCCAGAACAAGTATTCATTCTTGCAAGAAGAAATTTATAGAATGAGGTCCAGTTTACTTGCTTCACTGCTGCAAGTCTTCTTTTTTTAGAATAAGGTTGAAAAATTATGTGTATTACTTTAATGAATAATGTAGAAAATGTTTTAAATTTTTCAAAAAAAAAAAA